TTTATTTTCATGGAATAGAATTACATGAATGAGGACATAGTATACATGTGCATTCTTTCAAAGAAGTTGGTCAGATTACAGTTCTGTGGAAGTTAAGCAGTGTGTGCGTGAACATGCACACTAACATTTTTTATATTTAACATGTATTAACAGCATTACATGTATTTGTCTAATGTATAATTATTGTCAGTAAACATGCTTTTTACCTGTATTATTAATTTACATGTAATTTAACAATGTTGAGACTAATCAGTGCAAATTCATAATTTTCAATTGATATCAAATTATGGGCATAAAAGGAATGTGGTAGGATTGTGTGTGTTTGATGTCTGTCTGTGAATGTTTTAGGTGCTTTTGATGCTGATAAATTATTGCACCATTTTTTAAATTGATTTTTTTTAGGTTGATGGTGATACAGGACAACTTCCAGGTTCATGCAGGTGGTGTTTAAAGCTATCAGTCAGTAAAAACAAACTCATTTGAACACAACTTGAGTCTTCACATGTAAAATGATGGCAGTACTTTCAATATGTAAGTTGAATTTTCTAAAGCTTCTTTGTGTGTGTGTGTGTGTGTGTGGGGGGGGGGGGGGGTTGGAGGGGAGGGAGGTGGTGTTAAAGCTTAGAAAATGTAGATTTTAAATGAATATTTGAGCTATGAAAGTGAACCATCAAACTAATCTGTACATGTATGCTATATATTTTACAGCTAATATAATTTGAAAAGAATTTCAAAACAATATTTTACATTCATAGTGTTGTGTATGATAAAATATTAAGATTAAAAAATACTAGAGTTAAAATTTCTTTAATATTTGTCAGTCAAAACGAGCGACTTGTAAGGAAATTCAAAATTTTCAAAGTTCTCTTTCATTTTTCTACAAATTACAAAATGGTTACCATGGAAACAAAACATTTTCTGTAGACTATTTATTTGATCTGCTCATGCAAGTATTTTTATTATTTTATAGTTATAATGAATATTTTAGTTCTAATTTCATCTTTGATTAAAAGTACGGGAAAAGTAACACTACATGTGTAATAAGCAATCCATTATTATGATGTCATTATGACGTCATAGATGACTGAACTTGCATTGGCGTAAAAATTCCTTTGAAACAGATGAATGTACACAAGAATATATAGGCTTATAACGTTTTTATTCCTACACCAATTTTCTTGAATGATACATCAATGGACAGGAAATAATCAGTACTTTCTATTTTTACTACTTTCGGGGTATTTGTAAACTTAATTTTTTTGTCTATCATGGAGAAACAATGAATTCAAGGGTGAGGGATGATCAAATTTGTGCAAAAATGCATTGATTTTTTGAAATAAGAGAAATGGACCCATATGAGTGCTTGATTGTAATTTTGCTTGATGTATTTAAAGTCATGAAAGAGAATAAAAATGGTATAAGTACATTAATAGGCTAACCGATGACTTAAATGTGGGTGCAGTTGTGGCTAGATGAAAGCATTTTTAAAGGATTTTGCATATAGAACTGTGCATGCTGTAAAATCTTTATTAATGATTGAATTTTCCTGAAATTTGGCATAGTGTCACTACATAGACTGTAGTATGACTTATGATGTAAAATATTGTAAAATCCAGAAAATACTCTTTCATATTGGGTACATACCTCTAATTATTTTTAGAATCGGTAGGGGAAGAAAGTAGTGCAGAAAAAATTACAAGTTCCTTAATTTGCAGAACTGAATAAAAAAAAATGTGATAATGTATTAAACTGAGCCTCATACTTAATGATAAGGAGTATGTTCCCTTGCAAAAAAGCTTGGCAGATGTAATTTATCAATAAGATCAGCAGAATTATTTTATGTATTATAACACCAGTGAGAAGTCTGGAATTCCCCTACTTTCACTTTCATTTTCAGAGGTTAACGCAGACAGACGCAATTTGCCGGAAAACGAATCTGACATGCCACCTCGAGATTTTAACCAAGGAAAGACAACTTGATTTGCTTTCATTTTCATTATATAATATCACGCCATTTTGTTCTTTTTCCTGATTTTTTTTTTCTTGGTGGGTGACCACCCCCCTTAAGATAACCCTTCTCGTTCTGGCACTTTGCGCCTGGTGAAGTTTTTCGGCTCCACATTAGCCTACACATGAACAGAAAGGAATATAAGCCACTGTAGAGTATGGGAATTTTTGTAGCTTATATTTACAAGATTTGTTCTTAAAGAAATGTGGAAAAATTACCTTAGGCTGATATTTCATTTATACTTTTTTGTCCCATACTTTCACTAAAAATGGGGGATATTAATTTCGGTCTGTCTGTCCATCCGTCTGTCCCATCCGTCTTTCTGTAACACTTTTGTTTCTGCGCGATATATCTCGCGAAGCTTTTGAGCCCTTTTATGAAATTGTACACAACTCCCTATGGCCGAAGGAAGACCCCTATTGATTTTGAGGTCAAAAGGTCAAGGTCATAAATTCATAAATTCTGTCTGTTTTTTTTTTTTACACTTTCATGTTAACGCGATTTCTAGAGAAACCTTTGAGCTTTTGAAATTTTATACCAAAATTTCCTATGGCCTAAAGAAGACCCCTATTTATTTTGAGGTCAAAAGGTCAAAGGTCAAGGTCGTTAATTCATACATTCTGTGAGTGTGTGTAAGACTTTCATTTCCGTGCAATATCTCAAGAAGCTTTTGAGTTTATGCAATAAAATTTTATACCATATCTCCCTATGACTCCGCCCGCCCTTCTTGGAGTGTCTGCCCCCCCCCCCCCCCCCCCCCCGGATCTGCGCATGCTCTTCTTTTTTCCTTAAGCCGGGGACACAGATTCTCTGAATTGGCTAGTTTTAATGAATTTGGATAGTGTTTCTAACAAATATTTTGTGAAGACAAAGCTTCATGTTATAAAGCATGTTTGAATGCTGGGATGTCGTTGTCCTACTTTTAAACATTTTTTTTTATTTTAGTAATTGTTTTCAAAAACTTTAACAAGAAAATTAATTATTTCCGAAATTGATATTTACATACTAAATACTGGTATTTTAATTTCTGTATCACGATACGTATTTCATAATCACATTCCGGTTTACGGAAATAATCGCTCATCCATAACACCCCCCCCCCCCCCTTTTAGGAGAAAAAATGGATCCCCGCGTTGTAGCAACCGTTAATGATAAAACGCCGCTTAATGATAGATATATCATTAAGCTTTGCAACTGCAACGCTTAAAATTGCAACGCTTAATGCCATAAATTATTGCATTAATAGTTGGCATTCTCAACCGCTAACGCTTTATCGGCGCTTAATGATAGAATTGAGAATGACAACTATTAATGCAATAATTTATGACATTAAGCGTTGCATTGCAATGCTTAATGATATTTCTAACATTATAAGCGGCGTTTTATTATTAGCGGCTGCTACACCGCATGTAATTGCAATCAACCGTCCCAAATTTTATCTGGTAAGTTATATTAAGTGCATGTGCACTTAAACATAAAAGCATTGCAACTATAGACAGGAACTCATTATCTATTTTAAAGTAGAACTACAGGCCGGTAGTATCAGGGGGGCAAGGGGAGGCCTGCCCCCCCCCCCACTTTTTTCCACACATAACTTTTTCTAAGGAAAATGTACTTTGAAAGGCTGGTCCCCCCACTTTTTTCAATATAGACAAATAAAGATAATGTAGCAATATATGAAAAAGATTGGGACTGAAAGAAGTTCACCTACCCCCCCCCCTCCCCTCATTATCCCCCCCCCCCCAGAATTAAGGATTTTCGAGTTTGGACAGGGTTTCAGATTGGACAAATTCTTTCCCTCCCCCCTTTTTTTCAGGTTAGTTGATTTTTTTTCTCTGGCTGCCCATCCCCCACTTACAAAAATGATGCTACGTCACAGCTGGGGGAGTAAAATGTTAAGGAGGAATTCCATATTCATGAAAAACTTACTTAGAATGGTGGATATTTTGGGGAGGGGGGGGGGCTCAGTGACCATATTTAAGCTTTTAGAGCTGTTCATTCTCATGAAACGTTATTGTGACCAAGGTAGCATGATCGATACATCTAGGGATATAGTCTACACTGAGCAAAATAACGTAAGGTTCCCTGTTTAGTGTACACTTTGTTTAATTATCGATGTCAGACACCTTAAATAAAGTTGGTCAGTATTTTGCAGAATAAGGTTTAGTTTCATGTTTAGAGTGCACTTTTTTGTTTTTATTTATCGAAGTCGTACGGCTAAAACTTATGTGTCTCCACTACTTCCCGTGAATACTGTAAAAAAAAACCTAAAGGAAAATGAATAAAACATTTCAATTATATTAATTTTCTTACTTGGTTTTCTGTAAGCTTTGTTGTCAATGATGTAGATATCATTGTGTGGATGGAGGCCTATACAGGATCTCACGATGTCAGGTCTCGCCCAGTTTCTGTATCTCCAGAGCCATGTCACGTGATCTACACTGTCCTGTGATCTTCCTCTGTAATGTACAGCCTCCCCTACTCTTCTTAGATCCATTAGAAATTCTTCTCTTTTATCTTCACTCTCCTTCAGTATTTGGTTTGAAACATTCACTGTAGAAGAAGACAAAGACTGTCACAGTGTTAAATTTGTTATTTCAACAAAAATAAAATTAAAACGTATAGATATACATGTACATAAATTTATATCTAATCACCGTCCCTGATTTATGCACTGTTTACATATGTTTACATATTTGTATAGTTACTAGATTTCCTAGAGATCGATCACTGTTCATTGTCTTCTCCTTTTATTTTTTAATTAATTCACAATCGTTTAACATGTACATCTATCTACAGTTTGTAGCATGAGTCGCTGTGTACAAGCCTCATGAAGTAAATAAAATAGTCATCAATATCAAAGACATTATATCATGAAATTAGATTAATGCTTACCCTATCTTATTTATAAATATATTAATATTCAGTCAATCAATCATTTTAAGCATTCTCTGGAGTCTGAAAATAACTACATTTCTTTGCACTGACTTACATATCTGGTATATCTCATCATATATATACGTGTCCTCCATGGTGACGTGAGTCAGTATGTTCATCTGTAGACGGAGTATCAGTAAGTAATCACTGTAACCATCACTACAGACACACTTCTCTTTAGGTTTTCTGTTGTACATCTCTGATCTCAGGTACACACTGGCTGTGTCATAACTACTGTAATAGAATGGTATTAAATACTTTATTGATGCTATCCTATACATTGTCTCATCCTTTGTGTCCTCCGTTATCTTGTCCTGATCTTCCCAAAGATAATCACGTGACTTCAGTCTGTCCAGAGTCTGCTGTGCTTCCTCACTTGTTACAGGATTCTCTTTACCGTACACTTCCTGTCGTATCTCATTAAGCAAGTCCAGCCACTCTGTATCAGTGAAGTCAGGAGGACCGGAGTCAGAACACAGAAAACAAAATAACACGGACACCTCTTCATCAGTCAGTGTGGAGAACTGATCTAAAAAAAGAACGAATACATTAGGAGTAACCCTGTCAATGGGAAATGATACATAATATAGTTTAAAGACCCTGATTTTTTTTTTTTTCATTGAAATAACTATCATAATGTGAATACTTCGGGGGTTTTTCATGTTTACTTATAAACCGCCTAGTGTTCTTTACTTAGTATGAAAGCAGTGCTTTTACAATTAACACGGAATCGCCTTAAAAATTTTCAATCTGCTGATCGGAAAGCAGTGATTTTGTTTGTTTTTTAAACAACCACCCCCTCCTTTTGGATTGGAAAAAATTAGCGACATTTCCTCAAATTCGGAAAAATCATTTAATCAAAGTAACAACAACAGTTTTTGTTTAATTTTAACTTTGAATTTGATTTAAATTCATAAAATAATCATTTAAAAAAAAAAATGAACATCAATATTTTATTGAATGTGAACATGGCTTATATTAGTCACACCTTAAAGCTTCTATTTTCTTGGAATTGCTTTGTCTAATTTCATTAAAAAAACAGCATTTAGACTCATTATTTAGTAAACTGTCTTATATTTATAATCAAGTTTACAGTCTTTACTGTTTGTTTGTTTTCCCTGATTTTACTGAAACCTATGTGTTGTTCATTTCCTGATACTAGCCTGACCCTCTATGTAATAATGGCAGTCATACCAAATTCATTATGTCAACATGCAATATAACTTGTACCTGGAAACTATTTACTAATTCATTTAGGATATTATAAACTATTTATCTGCTTATATGGATATCTGCATTGATTTACACATTCATTTAAAAAATCGGCTGCATATGCATGGATTTGGAAAATAAAATTGAAGAATAAAAACGTATTTACTCTGTCAGCAAATTTCAGGCCCGTAGGAAGCAATTTCAGTGGGGGGGGGGGGGGGGGGGGCACAGCTATACATTTTTCAGTTGACAGTTGAGGGGGCCCTACCAAACAAAAATTTCCTGACAAGCAAAAAAAAAAACCTCATCAGACGCGTTTTTATTGAGGGGGCACAAGCATATAGTATCTATGTTTACTATAGTAATCTATATATCGGCAAAATTATTGGGGGGGGCACAGCCCCCCCCCCCGTGCCCCCCCCCCCGGTTCCTACGGCCATGAATTTAGCGACTTTTGTTCAAAATTAAAACATAATTTCCGTATGACTGAAATTGGGGAAAATATACTAATAATTGGGGAAAAAATAGCTAATTTTTGTGAGGGGAAACAGCCGAATATCGATGGCATTTTGACCCAAAAAAATCACTGGAAAGGTGAACTACTATTATACAGAACAGATTAAATCTGAAAGTGTTTTGAAAAAAATATACATATAAATAAAGCTACATGTACGGACAAGCAAAATACTTTGGACTGTTTAGACTTCTATAAATCAGGATTTTATATATATATATATATATATATATATATATATATATATATATATATATATATATATATATATATATATATATATATATTTACTTTTGTGAATGGTTTAAAAGTAAATAATGCGAAATGTGGAAGGAAAACGGGTTGAATTAAAATATAGATATTTTTTTGAATAAGATATTTTAATATTTCAGAGTCAATGCATTTTTATTTATCTTAATTCTTGTTAATTCTTTTTAAAACGATGATACGTGCCTGGATATATTTTCATATAGATAATGGTGTGCATATTCGAAAAGAGTATTTCTGAAATATTTCTTATGCACGCAAAGTGCTTAATCTTGGAATTTATGTCTGATAATGAAGGAAGAAAATACCCGGAAACCATTTTTTACAATATTCTGTATAAATTTAAGACTTTGAATATTACTCTTTATCCTCGAAATAAATAGTGGACTTGTTTATTTATAGACAGTATCTAAGTGAATTTGGAAACCATTTCATACTACATGTATATTTGAATTTTTGACCTTGATCTCTCATCTTCTGGCCTCAAAATCAATGGGGTTTTTCTAAAACTTGTGACCTTGACCTTTCATCATTAGTCTCAAAATCAATAGGTATCTCTCTCAATTTAGAGTGATCAAGTCCTCACTTTAAGTTTCGCTGAAATGTGAAAAAGATCTATAGTAATGATCTGGAAATCACGTTATGCAATACAACGTAGATGGGTTTCTGTCCTTTTTTTTCCTTTGATCTTAAAAAAAAAAAATAAATAAATAAAGGACAAGGTATGGTAATGGCGGAATCTGGCCCCTTTTTTGATGTAAAAATCAGAACAGTTAAAACTGAGATAGTTTGTAGTTAAGAAATTGAAATTATGCTTGTTTTAAAACCAGCACTAATTTTGATTCAAAGCTTACACAGAGGCCACAAGGGGGCAGAAGTTGAGAAGTTGGACATTTTTCCGAATTTCCTCAATTCTGATGGAATTTCGTCAAATTTGAAATACTTTGCACTTCGGTAAACATAGAGCGCACGCTTGCCTATCTGAGATTTTTATACACAAAAAGCATCTGATACTAGTGCATGAAATATTTATACTTCATAGATAGGCAATCTTGTGCTCCATGTTTTATCTGAAACAAAATGTGTTGTAAAATCGATGAAAAATTGCATAAAATTAGAAAATTCGGAAATTGACATATTTTCTGACCTTCCTGTGACCTCTGTGTATCCCATAACTTAGAACCAAAATTCATTTTGTGGCAGGGCTGACAACAGATTTTTATTAATAAACTGTTGCATCATTCTAAAAAGACACTGCAAACCAGGGGCCAAAAAGGGGTCTTAGCCTATCTTGTCCTTTATTTTAGTCAAATGTTGTAACATAATTTTTGATGCAAAAGCCGAAAGATTTTTTTTTGGAAATATAATCCGGAAACTAAACAGTTACAGAAAGACATACAAATGGACGGATAAACGGACAGGTCCAAATCAATATTCCCTGCATTTAGCTTACAGAGGAACAAAAATGTTTTTCCTACGTAAAGCTTAATTAAAAAATAGATAGAGATGTCGTTTATATGACATCATGGAAGGGAGTATTTCCTGGATTCTTAAATCAATAAAAAGACCTTGACCCTATCCGAAAAATATCCTGTGACGTATACATGTGTATATGTTTTTGAATAACGCCATGAATTCGAGATACTGCTAAAGCATTGCATGTACATATATGTAATATGCATTCTTTAAAATAATGTTTGTTTGTCCTCTCCGAAAGCAGATTAAAAAAAAATAATAAACGGGTCGGCGGGTACATGTAGGTTGGAAGAAAAAAAATTCCCAGAAAAATTTCAACATCAATGCAGAATTTTCAAAATCTATTAAAATTGAGGGTACTTATAAAACTTTAAATAGTTCTTGACAGGATAAGAAAATTCCAGAATGAATTTTAAAAAAAGTTTCCTGGAGGTTTAAAAAAAAGTTTCGAGTCGGGCCACTTTTAGCCAGTCGGAGAGGGCTAACAAACAGTTTTTTTAAAGATGGCCTTGATAGTCATTGTTAACCTTCACAAATGTATTTTTTTTTCTTTTTTTAGATAAATGCTCACCTGATATCTTTGTCTTCCATACGTTGTAATTGCCCACGAAGGGTGAATCTACAAGAGAAAAAAAAATCGGAATAAATGAAATAGATATCAAAAAGACATAACATAATATAATATTTATTTAAAGACGAGTAAGACAACAAGAAACATTAGCTCTGAAGAGCTATTTTCCGACTACTACATGTAACAAGTTTATATGTAACATAAATATACGAAAACAATTTTGCATGTCACACGACAGTTCCAATTCGCGACTCATTTTTAATCACTTATTTTCTTGAATAAACATGATTACTTTAACCTTGTATATTCACATAATTATTATTTCAAACATTTAAGTCATAGGTATGTACTTTATAAATATAAAGGCTCTAAATTTTCAAAAAGTTCTAGAGTTTAGTTTCATAATAAATCAAAGTACCTGTACTTACTATAGTTAACTATACTAAACTATAGTTAACTATTGTTAGTAAATTTTTGTTAGGGTACCTATGTAGTAGACCATAATCAAAGACAGGGCTTTAGTGAGTAATGTTACAAATATAACCATATCCTTTCATAAATACCATATTTGTGCACTATCCCCCTAAATAAGTAGACAACATATCCTGAAAAGATTCTGCTTTTTAAAAAACAGACATGTTGGATGGCAGGCGCAGATCAAGGATTTTTTTTCCGAGGGAAAGGGGGGGGGGGTTCCACCCTCGTCCAAAAAAATCCAACAAGAAATTTATTTGACCCCTTTCCTTTTGTAAAAAAAAAAAACTATTGGGGGGGGGGGGATAATGAAAACTTTAATTTCATTCACTTCTTAAGCTTCATATGTATGACTCTTCCTATTTACTTATTTAGACACAGATTTGAAGTTAATATTTACTCAAATTTTCTGCATAATTTCATGACTTATATGTTGCTATAGCATTTCATACGAAAATTTGATAAAAATCTTATTTTATCTGGAAGTTATTGAAACTTCTAATTTCTGAACGCGTTTGATAGACACAACCTTGCACTTTCACAAATTTTAACTTTATCCTTATTACTTTAGAAAAGTAGCAATTTTGTTGTTTATTAATGAAAAATATTAAAACTATAATGCAGAAATTTCAGAGTAGAAATGTAGAAAGCAAAATCCTCTCACCAGTATTGTCAGTCCGTGCTCAGTGGTGTGTGCAGAGTTTAACAATTGAGCACACCCGGTGGAACATAAACATTAACAACAACAGAGCTCGTGCCCTGTTTACAAAAACAGTTTACGTTTCACGAGTGTATTCAATTTGTTAAACTCTGTACACAACTACACAACACTGAGCACGGGCTGACAATACTTAAGTGAGTGGGTTTTGCTTTCGCACATTTTTACTCTGAATTTTCTGGATTATAGATGTAATATTATTCATTAATACACAACAACATTGCTACTTTTCTTAAGTATTAAGGATAAAGTTAAAGATTGTGAAACCGCAAGGATGTGTTAATCAAACGCCTCCCGAAATTCGTAGTTTCAATAATTTCCAGATTAAATAAGTTTTTAAATTTATTTTCGTGTGAAATGCTATAGCAATATATAAGTTGTGATATTATACAGAAAATTTGAGAAAATATAAACTTCAAATCTGTGTCTATGCACCTTTAAAAGGGGTGGGGCTGTTGCTGCAATTCACGGTTACCTGAAGCGTGGATAATGTATTCTCTGCGATAACATCACCTTCACAATTACCAAAATATAATCAAAGTGTATATATCTGCTCAAAAATATGGATTTCCTCATCAATTCTATCTTTATAACATTCTGTGCAACCTCGTTTGAGGCTGTTTTTCACTTTTACAATTTGTTATAGTTACACTATAGATATTAATTGGTTAGCTGTAAATACACTCACAGTTTTTCATTCACGAGGGGCGGAGCCCCGAGTGAATAAAAACTGTGAGTGTATTTACAGCTAACCAATTAATATCTATTGTGTAAGTTACTTGTACCAGAGGACCAATGAGAGAAAAGCGAGTTGATAAATAGCACCGCCTACTACGAGGTGTCAAGACACGGTCCGGAGTCTGTATAAATAGCGGTCTCCATCTGCAAGGATCATACTTTACTGCGGCACTGCTACTACAAGTTGTTGATAAAAAAAAATCGGAATTGCATGGTACGTGTGAAGATATTGTACATGTACCTTTGAAATGTTGAAGACGCAGAAAACATGATTTTTGTCAGGTACAGGTATAGGGGTAGCGATTGTAGGCGTTTATGTTCAAGCCGTCAACTCTGAAAGAAAAGTTATCTTTCTAGATCGGTTTTTTTTTTTGAAAAAAGGGGGGATGGATATAGGAAACATCGGCATTGAACTTTTTCTTTATGGCAATCGGCGTACAGAAAAAAATGAAATGATTTGTGACATTTTAATGAAAGTTTGAAATGGTTTTGGAAGTAAAAAAAAATGCGGGGACTTCTGATGTGAAATTGCTATATGTATTTGGAGACGGGAAAGAAAATGACGAGAATATTCGAGATAGGACGTATCATTTACTGATTAAGGATACGCGGAGAAAACATACAAAACCATTTATGAAGCGGACACCGACAAGCTAAGTTATAGTTACACTATAGATATTAATTGGTTAGCTGTAAATACACTCACAGTTTTTCATTCACGAGGGGCGGAGCCCCGAGTGAATAAAAACTGTGAGTGTATTTACAGCTAACCAATTAATATCTATTGTGTAAGTTACTTGTACCAGAGGACCAATGAGAGAAAAGCGAGTTGATAAATAGCACCGCCTACTACGAGGTGTCAAGACACGGTCCGGAGTCTGTATAAATAGCTGTCTCCATCTGCAAGGATCATACTTTACTGCGGCACTGCTACTACATGTACAAGTTGTTGATAAAAAAATCGGAATTGGTACGTGTGAAGATATTGTACCTTTGAAATGTTGAAGACGCAGAAAACATGATTTTTGTCAGGTACAGGTATAGGGGTAGCGATTGCAGGCTTTTATGTTCAAGCCGTCAACTCTGAAAGAAAAGTTATCTTTCTAGATCGTTTTTTTTAAGGGGGGATGGATATGGGAAACATCGGCATTGAACTTTTTCTTTATGGCAATCGGCGAACAGAAAAAAAATGAAATGATTTGTGACATTTTAATGAAAGCTTGAAATGGTATTGGAAGTAAAAAAAAATGCGGGGACTTCTGATGTGAAATTGCTATATGTATTTGGAGACGGGAAAGAAAATGACGAGAATTCGAGATGGGACGTATCATTTACTGATTAAGGATACGCGGAGAAAACATACAGAAATTTATGAAGCGGACACCGACAAGCTAAATAATGTTAGTATTTTTGAAATTTAAAATGTTGACTTAATTCATTCATCAGCCATTGCCTTGGTCTTGAAATTGACATCATTCATTCATTAGTCAAGGTCTTGACACAGTATGGCTAGATGCCAAAAGGTGGGCGTGACTTAAAAAAAACTGTGATTCTTCTGGCAAATACACCACAGCAACATGAAAGCAAAATCTAAATTTACCGCCAGTCCTATGGTACAAGGTCATATACATTATAATAAAAATATCAATAAAGTAATAATAATTTGGCCTAAATATTATAATAAAAATACCGTATCGTATATAGCCAAATTGAAAAACATCATAAGCTGATTGCACAGAACGATATAAAAAATGAAATTGAAGGGGAGATCACAAATTCTTGAGAAAAGATAGCGTTACTTACTATAAATATCGAATCTGGTCATTCATATCAATCAGAGTGGTCTTGAATAAAGTTATTTCACTCAGGCGTATTTGACAAACACGACACGTTATATGTACGGCATTATATTTTCTGTTCCGTGTTCCATACCCTATATGCTTTGTCTTTCTTCAGCGATCTTTATAAGAGAATAATCATGACTACCGGTAAATCAACCTGCATTTTATAATCAAGGATGAAATATGAACAATTTAGATGAAATATATCTTTTCGTAGACTAGAATTATTTATATATTTGTCACGTGATTAAACCTGGTATCATATTTTTCCGTTTAGCATTCCGTTCTGTTTTCCGTTCTGCGTTTTAACAACACTCGAATTAGTCAAAGTTCAGTGCCTTATGGCTGTAAGAAATATCTCAGTTGAATTGAATTGTTTCAAACACTTTTTATAAAACGGAAAAATAACGAGCTGAATACTCCTATAATTGGGTGCATCTAAAATATCACAACCATTAAGGAGGGGGCGAAGTGCTTTAGAGAGGAGGAATTTTGCAATACAGTAATCCTTCTTCGGGGATACGTTTGCAACATGTGTATGGCAAATTATCCGGGGCAGTTTTGTTATAGAGAGAGAGAGAAAGGAGAGAGAGAGAGAGCCAATCTTCCAAGAGGAATTTCTGCAAAAAAAAAGGGGGGGGGGCATTCCTATAGATGACTGGAAGAATATAAGGCAGTAAATTGCGTTCATAAATTTGCATCAATATACAGATTGATATTAAACTTTATACTTCTTTTTATCCTATCCGGTTGGTAGCAGTATATTTTTACATTCAGGATCAATAACTTTATTGTTTACAAGAGGACTTCTTTTGTATCGTCCTTGTATATTGACGTCATTTTTCAGGCTTATATGCTGCCAGGGGAAAACTATTTTACTTTGTCAATAATTGCGGTGACTGCTTAATCATTTAAAAAATATGTGCCACTATTTTCTTGAATATATTTACCTTGTCTTACTTCCTCTGCTTTCAACATCATTTCAAGTTCGTCATCTAAAAAGGAAATTCATAATATAATAATTATTCATTAAAAGATGAATTGAGTAAGAATGGAAAAATACAAAACTATATTTATTAGTGATGTAATGTATTAAAGTTATTTTTGATAAAAAGTTATTTTTTTAATTTTTATTTTACTTTATTTCTTCCCTATCTTTATTTATAAACATAAATCTTTTGATTACATTAACAGCAGAAAATCTGAAAAGGAAATGAGACGCACACCTGAAACATCATCTTCTCCCCACTTTTTCTGCTTCTGTTTTCTTCTTCGTAAAA